ATCTGACTCGCTTGCATTAGCGATACACATGCTTAGATTCCTTAATAGTCTGCCCAATATGATGGATGTTCTAATAAACTTTGTCTTTGGCTGAAAAAAAATTTGATTGAGTCAAACAGAAACCAACTCAATGAGACAGGAAATACTAAAACAAAATAAAAAGATTGAAAAAACAAGATGTACAAAATATAATATTGAAAACAACTGGCCTGAAAACTTGGCCAAGGAGAGACAATTTAAGAATTATTTGACTATCTGAAAACCATAACAGCAACAATAACAAAAAGCTTGGAAACAATATTTTAAGAAACCATAAATAAATATTGCTCAGAACTCTTAGAACCAAAGGGAAAAGTGAAAATGGAAAGAATCCAACTGTAATAGGACCAGAGTACCATTTCCTCACAAAGGCATTATGTTTTCCTAAAATCAGCATTGGGAAATCTCATTATCCTGCAATATTGAATCAGTCCTGGTACTCACAGCTCATCAGAACCCTCTGCTTCTGACTGGACCCTCTGACTAGAAGGCAAAGCCACGGGCTCCAGGGCTCTGTTGAAGTAGGAGGGCCAGCACAATCTTCTCATTTCCTACCATCTACATTGCTTTTGGACTACATCATTCCCTTGTGCCAGGTATCTTCTTTTCCTCCTCATACACCCCATTTTGAACTTGTGAGTTGTCTTCCACCATTAGATTGTAAGCTCAGTGAGGTCAGGGAATATCTTTTTATTTGTATTTGTATTCTCAGGACTTAGCATAGCGCCTGGCACATAGTAAATACTTGGTAAATATTTACTGACCATGAACTAAAAGGCTAAAAAAATACTAAAAAGACAAAGCTATGTCTAGGACCTGATTGACCTCTACCTTCCTTGATGCAGCTTCCTGGTCACCTAAGAACATAAAAAGTGCCATTCACGTGGAGTCACTTGCCCCTCCACCTTGGAGGATGTCTGAAGACCACATACTTTGCCCTGCTGAACAAACAAATTTCTGTATGGAGGTGGGATTTGGGGAGGGTGGGATACATCCTTAGAAGCCGATTTCCTTGGTATCCTTATTACATATACTTGCTATGTTAGGGTTAACAAGCCTCTGTTTGCTAAGTGTTCGGTGACTCTCCAGTGCCTGATTTCATCCATAATTGAACTTTAACTAACAGGATACTGTATTCAGACTCATTCCTAATACCATTTGTTTACTTCTTTTAAAAAAGGCTCCCCAAATGAAAATTCCCAGGAACTTCACTGTCAAAATCCAGAGTTCCCAGGTCAAAGAGAAATTCTTACAATCAGCCAAAAAGAAAGCATTCAAGTACCAAGGAGTCACAGTTGGGATCATAAAGACTTAGTAAATACCACCCATAAAGGAGATGAAAGCTTAGAATATAATATTCCAAAAGGCAAAATCAAGAATAACTTCTCTGACAAAGTAAATATAATCCTAGGGTGAGGTGTTGGGGTGAGCAAATGAATATTTAATAAAATAGAGAATTTTACTTATCACAATGTAATAAGAAGTATATTCAATAAGAGGCTCTTAAAGAATTAAAAAGTAATTTGTGACTAAATAACATAATTCAAAGAACAGTTTGAAAAACAATAGAAAATTTTATCAAAGAAAATGGCAATAATGAATAAACATACCAAAACTTAAGGGATGCAGCTAAAGCAGATTTTAGAGGGAAAAAGAGGGGGAAAAAAATAAAAGAATTGGGCATACTATGGAAAAAGAAATTTGAACAACAATAAATAAAAACTATCTAATCAAATATCAAAGTAGAAATCCTTAAAATTAAAGGACAAAGTAAAAAAATTTAGGGAAAAGACGATTGATTGATAAATAAAACTAGGAGCCTTTTTTTCCCCAAAAAGTTAATAAAATAGCTGAAGAGTTAGCTAATATAATTATGTCCTGTGGACAACCTAAATTCAACATGTCCAAAAGTAATTATCTTTCCCCTCAAAGCCTCCCTTTTCCTAATCTATTACTGTGGAGGGCACCACACTCTCAGTCAAGTTTCCTAACCTAGGTGCCATCCTCTACTACTCATTCTGTCTCATCACCACCATATCCAATCAATTGCCAAGTTATGTTCATTCCAACTTCCTGATTTCTCTTGTATACAATCTCTCTTCTCTCATCTGACACTGCTATGACCTTTTGCAGGCCCTCATCTCCTCATGCCTGTAATATTGCAATAACCTGCTGACTGGTCACCCTGCTCTGTCTCTTCACACTCCAGTTCATCCTCCACCTAGCTATTCGATTGATCTTTCTGAAGCTTAATTCTAACCATATCACTTCTCTATTCAATCAAAGTTTGTATCTCCCTGCTGTCTCCAAGATCAAATATAAAATTGTCTGTTTGACTTTTAAAGCCTTTCACAACGTGACCCTCTCCTATCTTCCCAATCTTCTTGTACCTTACACCCTCACACCCATTTCTGATCCAGTGACATGGGCAGAAACCAAGCCTCCTGATTCTGGGCATTTTTCCTGGCTGTTTAACTCTCTCCCTCCTTATCTCTGTCTCCTGGTTTCTCAGGCTTCAAGTGTGAGTTAAAATCAATCAATCAACTGAAATTCCACCCTATGCAAGAAGTCTTCCCAATTCCTCTTTAATCTTAATGCTTTCCCTCTGAGATTATCTCCAATTAACCCAGTATATATCTTTATATGTATAAATAATCTCCTCCATTAGACTGTAGCTCCTTGAAAGCTGAGATTGTTGCTTGTCTTTCTTTGTATCCAGTGCTTAGCACAGTGTCTGGCATATAGCAGACTTAATAAATGCTGGTGGATTTGAATGGAACCAGCAAGCATTATTAATCAGCAAGGCCGGGTGGAATGGGTGGAGAGTACACTTCACAATTTGACCACAGATGGCAATACTGCCAAATGACCATTCAGGTGGTTTTGTCAGCCGGTATTCAATATGTTTGAATGGGGAAGGAATTAATGGATTGGAAGAGGGCAAATAGTGCAATTTTCAAAAAGGAGGAAGGAAACAGGGTCTGCGAACTATATGCCAATGAGTTTCACTTTTATTCCTAGAAAAAAATTCTAGAATGAAATAGAATTCTAGAACGGAATAGACAAGGAAAATAGTAATTAGAAAGAATCAGGATGACTTTATCAAGAACAGATTATGCCAGACTAACCTCATTTCCTTTTTTTGTCATAATTGTCATAGTGGTACCTGAAGGGAACTTTCTGGATTTTGTACAGCATCTTGTTTCACATAAGTTAATGGAGAAAAAATAATAAATGTGCATTAGTTGAATATAGCCAGTCACAAATCACTCAGAGTGTGTGTGTGTGTGTGTGTGTGTGTGTGTGTGTGTGTAGGTCTATAACCACCATGAGAGGTGGGCCAAGATAGACAATCTACAGTTACAGTCTTCAGGCCATCAATATCACCTACTTTTCCCATTGTATCAGGAAAGCTCCTAGACACTTTATGATGGGTTACCTGTACAAGACTGAAAATTGGCTGAACGACAATAAAGCTTAAGAGACAGGACCCATTTCTGACCATCCCTACCCAGATAGATGCCAGCAGGGAAGGACTGAAGGGCAGCAATTGCTAGGGACTAGTCCAAATTCTCTTCCAAATCACATTCCCAGACTCCTAGAAAAGGAAAAATAATGCATTTTGGTCCACAGTAAATACTAAGGAAGAAATTTATACTGTTGCCTTTCTTTGGGAAGTGAAGGCAGCAGGGGTAGGATCATCAGATCTGAGATAGCACAGCACCCACAGCACCTGAGATGGGGTGGAGATTCCAAGGTTGCAAACTACCATCTGTCTCCACTCTGCCCAAAGGTCTTCTCTAGGTCTGCCCCAACCTCCTCATTGAGCTGAGAGGGAATATGTTTCCCAGTCATTACTTTTCGGAGATTATACCTGGGTGCTTTGATCCCAGTTTGTGGAAGTAGGGTAGGCTGGATGTTTCCCCAATTCCCTCACTGCTATGAGGCTCACAATTCCTTCAGAGCCAGAGGACAGATTCTGCCTTTTGGCAGGCTGCCCCTGCAGCCATGGCCCCATTTGCTAATGCCTCAGCCTTCACTTTACTTGCATTCAAGCCATTCAGTTGGGAATAGTTGGAAAAGGAGGTTCACAGTTCCTTTACCCCTACTTATTCCTCACCTCTCTCTTGGGGAAGCAGCAAGAAATTCCTCTCAAGAGAAGCCTGTCCAGGAGAACTTAAAAGCCTTTTCCCAGGCTGTCTTTCCTACCCACCACCCCAACCCACCCCCAGGCCAGGAAGGCACTCCTTCCTCCCTCATTCACCTCCACCTCTAGGTGGAAGCCCAAGGTTCCTTCAGAGCTCAGCTTAAATGCCCCCTCACCCACACAGCCTTTGCCCATCCCCTCAGCTTTGAGGGCCTCCCTGAATCAGAAAATCATGTATTTTGTATTGAACATTTTTGTAGCTATTTACTTGTGCACATGCTTTCTCCCCCTAAGGAACACATGCTCCTTGGGGCACAAGGCATTTCAGTTTTGTCTTTGTATCCAGAAGACCTAGCACAGTGCCTGGCACATGGTGGGCATTAAATGAATCCATTGGTTAACAACTGCCTGCCCCATTAAGTACCACAGGTCAAGGTTGGCTAGCAGCTTTTTGTCACTTCTCAACTAGGACAAAGACAGTGCCTAAATCTCCAGTTGGCTCTGCTGCTTTCCAAAGCAGGGAACGCATAGGCATTCTCTGTTCCTGTTCCTGCCTTTGCTCCTTGGTTTCTGCCTGGCTTCGCCCAGCATCACCCACCTGTGCCAATCACAAAGCCGTATGGCATTCAACAGATTCTTTGTTCTGTTTTCTACATACAACTGGGCTGTTTGTTCCAAGGGCTGTTCAAGGAAACCTGGTACTTGTCTGTATGAAAAGAAAGGCACTTTGCAGGGGAGGAGACACCATCCCAGACCCCTAGCCCTCTTTTCACTTTATTGGATTGCAAACAGAGACAAACTTTGGAGTTGCTGCTTACTTTCCACAATTTATTCCAAGACCATCTTTCTCTACAGAAACAACAGAAACAATTTCACAGAAGAAGCCATATAAAAATACATGTAACATAATAATATAATAAGAATGAGAATAAGAACAGCGGCAGGAAGACCTGTGCAGGCCACGTTTGCCTGGGGAAGAAAGGGAAGGTTAAGGGAGGAAAGTCAAAAGATGACGACTAGTTTCCAGGACCGGCTGAGAACAGGAGTCCCCGTGAAAGCCTCTGGGGCAAAGGCCTAAGGGCCCAGAAGGGAAAGGACCAAAGTGGGGAGGAATAAGCAGCCTTCCTTCAGAGAAAAGGCCTAGAGGCCCCATCCGAGGTTCCCCCCCCCCCCGCTGGGAGGTGTGACTCAATCCACCTCTTCAATGGTGGGTCCCGGGGTGGGGTTGGCCTGCCTGGCCTGGGCCCCACAGCTGCTCCCTGCAGCAGGTGCCCCGGGTGCCTGGTAGAGCCCGGCAATGATGGGGTGGCTCAGGCGTTCCAGTTCCTTCTTCTGGTGTTCATACTCCTCCTTGTCGGCCAGCTGGTTGCCCTCCAGCCAGGAGAGGACCTCCTGGCACTTCTGCAGCACCTTCCTCCTATCTTCTTCCTTGATCTTGTCCCGAAGGCCGTCCTCTTGCACCGTGCTCTTGAGGTGGAAGACGTAGGCCTCGAGGGAGTTCTTGGCAGCCACCTTCTCCCGCTGAACCTCGTCCTCGGCCTTGTACCTCTCAGCCTCCTGCACCATCCTCTCCACCTCCTCCTTGCTGAGCCGGCCCTTGTCGTTGGTGATGGTGATCCTGTTGGCCTTGCCCGTGCTCTTGTCCGTGGCCGAGACGTTCAGGATGCCATTGGCGTCGATGTCAAAGGTGACCTCGACCTGGGGGACCCCCCGCGGCGCAGGGGGGATGCCCGACAGCTCAAAGCGTCCCAGCAGGTTGTTGTCCCGGGTCATGGCCCGCTCCCCCTCGTACACCTGGATCAGGACTCCCGGCTGGTTGTCCGCGTACGTGGTGAAGGTCTGCGTCTGCTTGGTGGGGATGGTGGAGTTTCGCTTGATCAGGGTGGTCATCACCCCGCCTGCCGTCTCCAGGCCCAGGGACAGGGGAGCCACATCGAGCAGCAGCAGGTCCCGCACCTTCTCCGACTTGTCCCCCATCAACACGGCCGCCTGCACCGCCGCCCCGTAGGCCACGGCCTCGTCCGGGTTGATGCTCTTGTTCAGCTCCTTGCCGTTGAAGAAGTCCTGCAGCAGCTTCTGCACCTTGGGGATGCGCGTGGAGCCCCCCACCAGCACCACGTCGTGGATCTGGCCCTTGTCCATCTTGGCGTCCCGCAGGGCCTTCTCCACGGGCTCCAGGGTTTCCCGGAAGAGGTCGGAGCACAGCTCCTCAAAGCGGGCTCGGGTGATGGTCGTGTAGAAGTCCACCCCCTCGTACAGCGAATCGATCTCCACGTTGGCCTGGGTGCTGGAGGACAGCGTGCGCTTGGCCCGCTCACAGGCTGTCCTCAGCCTCCTCAGGGCCCGCTTGCTCTGACTCGGGTCCTTCCTGTGTCTGCGCTTGAACTCTTGCACAAAGTGGTTCACCAGCCGGTTGTCAAAGTCCTCCCCGCCCAGGTGGGTGTCCCCGGCTGTGGCCTTCACCTCAAAGACGCCGTCGTCGATGGTGAGGATGGACACGTCGAAGGTGCCGCCCCCCAGGTCGAAGATGAGCACGTTGCGCTCCCCCCTGCCCGACCCGTCCAGCCCGTAGGCGATGGCTGCCGCCGTGGGCTCGTTGATGATCCTCAGCACGTTGAGCCCCGCGATGGCCCCCGCGTCCTTGGTGGCCTGGCGCTGCGAGTCGTTGAAGTAGGCCGGCACCGTGATGACCGCGTTGCTCACCGGGTGCCCCAGGTAGGCCTCCGCCGTCTCCTTCATCTTGCTCAGCACCATGGAGGAGATCTCCTCCGGGTAGAAGGCCTTGCTCTCGCCTTTGTAGGACACCCGCACCTTGGGTTTCCCGCCCTCGCTCACCACCTGGAAGGGCCAGTGTTTCATGTCCGACTGCACCACCTCGTCCGAGAACTTGCGCCCGATCAGCCTCTTGGCGTCAAAGACGGTGTTCTGCGGGTTCATGGCCACCTGGCTTTTGGCCGCATCGCCGACCAGCCGCTCGCTCTCCGTGAAGGCCACGTAGCTCGGCGTGGTGCGGTTGCCTTGGTCGTTGGCGATGATCTCCACCCGGCCGTGCTGGAACACGCCCACGCAGGAGTAGGTCGTGCCCAGGTCGATGCCGATCGCCGTTCCCTGGGGGGTACCCATGGCTCGGGGACACCTGCCTTCCTTCCTCCCTCCGGCACTGGACGGGGACGAGCTGCCTTTCTGCGCGACTCTGCGGGGCTCTGCGCGGCTCCTGGCACAGCCGCTGGTATCGATACCAAGAAGGCAGGCAACCGGGCTCGAGCGGCCGCTCCGGGTGCTGGGCTCACAACGGGCTGGAGGGTTCCCCCGACTCAGATCCTCCTGATCCTCGGTATCTGCTCACGGACGGACGCTGCTGGTGCTGGTGCTGCTGCTGCTGCTGGTGCTGGTGCTGGCACTCCTGGTGCTGCTGCTGCTGCTGCTGGAGGGAGTGGGTCCTGGATCTCGGGCGGCTCTGCGGCTCGGTCTCGGATCCTGTTGTGTTCTCAGTGCCTTTTCTCAGCTGGGGGGGATGTGCTGGGCTCTGCTCCGGGCTGGCCTCTTTATCCTGTGGCCCGGGACCCGCCTCCTCCCTCCGCCTCCGCCTGCGAACTTTCGGGCACCCTCTCGGGGAACCCGGAGTCCCGGAGAAAGGCTCTGGAGGAGCCCGCCCCGCCACCCGACGGAGACCAATGGGAAGCGAGGACTCGGCTCAGCCAGAACCTTCGCGGAGGTTCCGAGAGCCCGGGAACTGAGGCGAGGGGAGGGGTGCCGAGGGGAGCTGGGGGTAGCCAGGCTGGCCAGGGAGCCGGGCGGGGCGGGGCTTGTCGTGAGTGCTGCGGCTTTGGGGGCTCAGCCGCTACCGTGAACGAGCCTTTCGGCGTCGGCTTCTGTTGGGTTGGGGGCGGACGGATCGTAGGTTCTTGGGCGCAGGGACTGCCCCGGAGCCCAGGCCAGGTGGCTGGAGCTCCCCAGTGCTGCTCTCCGAGAATGGGCTCGGCTGCAGCTCGAGCCTGGCTTCAGGTGGACCTAGCGTAGAGGCCTTGGAGCCACAGGGTCCCCGCGAACCTTTACCCAGAGGAGGCGGCCCCGGAGCTTCTCAAGCAGTCGCATTGGTGGTTCAGTGGTAGAATTCTCGCCTGCCACGCGGGAGGCCCGGGTTCGATTCCCGGCCAATGCAACGATAAGTTTTTCTCTTTTTCTTTTTTTGCTTGGCCTCCCGAGCTCTTTTCACACCGGACATCTCCCCGATCCCGCACACTTCAAGTTTCGCAAACGGTTCACAGGGTTCTCGGGGTCACATTTGATGAGCGCTCCCACCGCACCCCCATATCTATCGCCTCTGATTCGCTCCCTTGCCCGGCTTCCTAGAGGAAAAAAGGGGTCTCCCCCTTACAATACACCCTTAAGCAGCTCTGCACCCGGCACCCGGTACCTAGACAGCAGCAAACATTCTGCGGTGACCGCTGGGCGGGGTCCCCAAAGATCAGCTTGTTAGTTAGTCTTGACCCGCGGGCATCTTGAAGAGCCGGAAGGGAGAAGGTAGCAGCAAAACATCTTTCCCTGACCGGGAATCGAACCCGGGCCGCGGCGGTGAGAGCGCCGAATCCTAACCACTAGACCACCAGGGAACCCGTATGTTGCTCCACTCAGCACCCACACAGCTCAGACGGAACAGACTTTTTTTTTTTTTTTCCCCCTTCAAACTGCTCCGAACAGCCACCCCACAAGCCCAGCCACCAGGCCCCCGCAGGCTCCCTCTCTCTTCTTCCTCCTCCTCCTTCTCCTCCTCACCCTCCACTTCAATCACTGAACCCCTTCACCGGACACTTCCCTTCCCAACACCCCAAGGCCTCGCCTCGCTTACGAGAGCTCCGCAGACGGACGAAGCGGGAAAGGAGAAGGAGCCTCGGAACTGAGCCAAGGAGAGCCCGACTACACATCCAGAGAGTAAGCCAAGCCCTAACGAGCTTCCGCCGCTGGCCGCCTGACCGCCTGACCGCCTGACCGCCTGACCGTCCGGAGATCCGAGAAAAACGGACTTAGGAATCCAGTGCGGCTCACAGGAAGAAAAAGCTTGCTTTCACCTCCCCGTCGGGGAATCGAACCCCGGTCTCCCGCGTGACAGGCGGGGATACTCACCACTATACTAACGAGGACGCCGACGAGGCGCCGTTCTTCCCGCACCACCCATACTTTCCCGGATGAGCACACTGTTCCCCGACCTTCCTTTCTAGGGATTCTCGTCCCGAGTCACCGCCCAAGTAGAGGAGCCAGACGCAGGCCCGTGAGCCCCTCTGCCATTGCCTCACACTCAAAACAAAAGCGTTTTCCCCACCCATAGGCTACACACACACGCACACCAGTGGGAGGAAGAATCTATGGGAGACAGACCCACGGACACTCAGAGACACGGAAAGAGGCGGAGGCAGAGGCAGAGGCAGAGGCAGAGAGAAAGCTAACAGAGGGAGCATGGCAATCGATGCCAGAACTGAAGCGCAGAGACCAGTAGAATAGTAGTACTCTTCCGAAAGGATACACGGCGAAGAACTATTGCCATGCAGCGATACCTTGGAAGAAGAATTGAACTTCTGTCTGGAGTGGCTCATCTGAGCTATTCCATCGTCTTTGTTTACTCCTTAGGTTGAGAAAAGCGACCCTTCTGAATGTTGGTGGCATGAGTCGTCTCTGAAGACAGAATTTTTATCTCTTGACTGGTCATCCCCATCTAGGTAACCACAGTGCTGGATGTCAAACCTCCTGGGTAGTAGTATTTTTGGCTTACATATAAAATGTGTCAATTGACAATTCTGGGACCTAAATAGAAAATAGGCACAGTAACCCTGTTCAGTCTCTAATTCTCACACCAAAGCCTGGAGAGGCACAGACCACAACCACTGGTTGTCCCCTTCTCCCTCCTAAGACAGTAAGGTAGCTAACTACTCCATAAGGATCTTTCTATGCAGCTGAATAATGTCCTTATGTCAAGAGAAAGATATTTGTAAGGCCAAGGTAGAGCAGATAGGGAGCAGATATATTAAAGAGCATTTGTAGCCTCTCAACACCTTCTCCTTCTCTATGTCCAGTAGGGAATGGGATGTGGGAAGGAGAAGAAAATAATTGCTTCTTAATTTTAAAAAAATCTTTTAAAATAACCGTCTCATTATGTATCTGGATCTATCACCTCTCTGAAGAGGTGGAGGGTGGAGTGGACTTGGGGGTAGAAAGATTTACTCTTAGTCTTCTGCAGTCCAATTTGGTCATTTTGAATTAATCAGAGTTCTTAAGGTATTAAAAGTTGTTTTACTTTAAAATGTTATTGTTCTTATATAAATTATTCCGTTAGTTCTGCTTACTTTAATCTGCATAGATTCATACAAATCTAACATTTGTGGGAAATTGTACCTTCTTCATTTCTTGCAATTTCTTGCATTCAGTTACAATAATATACTATAATTTGGCCAGTTCTTTGTTCCTTCAAAAAGAGTTTCTACACACATTTTTGTACATATTAGTCTTTTTCATTTTTAAAAGTGTTTTTTTCTTTTCTTTTTGTGTAGGCCTAGTAGTGTTGTCCATGTATCAAAGTGTATGTAGAGTTTAATGCTTTGGGGGCATAGTTCAAAATTACTTTCTAGAATGACAGCATCCAACCACAACTACACCAACAGAGCCTGTTTTAATAAACACTTGGTGATTGAGAGTCCGATTGAAATGAATAGAGCCTACAATTGGAACTCAAGTACAAAAGTTCCACCACTTATGAGGCAGTGCTGGCTTCTCAAAAGAGTGAGGAGTGAAAGAAAGATCGCCAAGCATTTCTGCAATTCGTAACGCTTTCTAAAGAAATGTCTCTATTATTTTCTCCTAGGTTTTGTTATGGCAATTTTATTAGAAACTTCAAGTATAACACAGAAAAGGAATAGATCATGTCTCTGAAAAGCGGAAAAGCAAGTTGCATTGGCCGGGAATCGAACCCGGGCCTCCCGCGTGGCAGGCGAGAATTCTACCACTGAACCACCAATGCTGACGTCTGAAACAGGATGAGGAGGCCTCCTTTAGGAAAAAGACTCGGCCAACGACTGACAATAAATGACAGCACTTTTGAGAACTGTATCCGGACATCTTCCAAGGTATCGCTGCATGGCAATAGTTCTTCGCCGTGTATCCTTTCGGAAGAGTACTACTATTCTACTGGTCTCTGCGCTTCAGTTCTGGCATCGATTGCCATGCTCCCTCTGTTAGCTTTCTCTCTGCCTCTGCCTCTGCCTCTGCCTCCGCCTCTTTCCGTGTCTCTGAGTGTCCGTGGGTCTGTCTCCCATAGATTCTTCCTCCCACTGGTGTGCGTGTGTGTGTAGCCTATGGGTGGGGAAAACGCTTTTGTTTTGAGTGTGAGGCAATGGCAGAGGGGCTCACGGGCCTGCGTCTGGCTCCTCTACTTGGGCGGTGACTCGGGACGAGAATCCCTAGAAAGGAAGGTCGGGGAACAGTGTGCTCATCCGGGAAAGTATGGGTGGTTGCGGGAAGAACGGCGCCTCGTCGGCGTCCTCGTTAGTATAGTGGTGAGTATCCCCGCCTGTCACGCGGGAGACCGGGGTTCGATTCCCCGACGGGGAGGTGAAAGCAAGCTTTTTCTTCCTGTGAGCCGCACTGGATTCCTAAGTCCGTTTTTCTCGGATCTCCGGACGGTCAGGCGGTCAGGCGGTCAGGCGGTCAGGCGGCCAGCGGCGGAAGCTCGTTAGGGCTTGGCTTACTCTCTGGATGTGTAGTCGGGCTCTCCTTGGCTCAGTTCCGAGGCTCCTTCTCCTTTCCCGCTTCGTCCGTCTGCGGAGCTCTCGTAAGCGAGGCGAGGCCTTGGGGTGTTGGGAAGGGAAGTGTCCGGTGAAGGGGTTCAGTGATTGAAGTGGAGGGTGAGGAGGAGAAGGAGGAGGAGGAAGAAGAGAGAGGGAGCCTGCGGGGGCCTGGTGGCTGGGCTTGTGGGGTGGCTGTTCGGAGCAGTTTGAAGGGGGAAAAAAAAAAAAAAGTCTGTTCCGTCTGAGCTGTGTGGGTGCTGAGTGAAGAGCAACATACGGGTTCCCTGGTGGTCTAGTGGTTAGGATTCGGCGCTCTCACCGCCGCGGCCCGGGTTCGATTCCCGGTCAGGGAAAGATGTTTTGCTGCTACCTTCTCCCTTCCGGCTCTTCAAGATGCCCGCGGGTCAAGACTAACTAACAAGCTGATCTTTGGGGACCCCGCCCAG